TTATCGATCGTTCTTGAGCCCACGAGAAACACACCGCTAGTATATAAACGATTAACAGGCCGCATTACGTGTCATTTCTGGATAGTATTTTTTTGTGAGTGCACTTTGAAATATTTTTTCCTTTTCAATATTATTTATTCGTCGCTATGGCAGCATGAGGTTGTGTAAATGACCCAAACATATTCTGTTATATTTGTGGTAAATTTGTTGTAAAGAAACAAATGCAAACATTACAGAATTCGTCAAAAAAGCATATTACGCGTATTTTGCAATAAAACTTGGGGCCCAAGACAAATCATGGGCTCTGCGCAAAGTTTGCACCGTTTGTGTCGAAGAGTTGAGATAATGGACTAAAGGTAAGAAAACGTCTTTGCCTTTTGGAATTCCAGTGGTCTGGCGTGAGCCTAGAAACCACAAAGATAACTGCTATTTTTGCTCATGTAACGTGCAAGGCTACAACACTCGAACTAAAAAGGAAATTTCTTATCTGAACCTTCAATCTGCTATAAGACCTGGTGCTCATGGACCTGATATATCTGTACCTACTCCACCGGAGACTCTTGACATAGTTTCATCTGATTCTGAATCTGATGTCAATAGAAATGATGATAGGGTTTGTTTTCAACCTGAAACGTCTGGTGAATCAAATCTTTTCATACAAGGTGAACTTAATGATTATTGAAAGATTTGGGCCTTTCTAAGGATTCTTCAGATATTTTGGGGTCCAAACTTCGGGCTAAGAACTTACTATCTCCAGGGACATCATTTTACTGGTACAGAAATCACGAGAAAGAGTTTATACCATACTTTTCACAAGAAGGTTCACTGGTTTATTGCAACAATATTGCTGTATTAAGACCAATGCTAGGAGCTGCAGTCTATGAACCAAGTGAGTGACGATTGTTCATTGATTCCTCCAAAAGAAGTCTAAAAGATGTTCTCATTCACAATGGTAACATATATGCATCTGTTCCTATTGCTCATTCGGTTCACTTGAAGGAAGCGTACAAAAATCTCGAACTTCTTAATAAAATCAAATACAAAGCACATGGTTGGCTACTTTGTGGGTACTTAAAAGTCCCTTGTATGTTGTTGGGTCAACAGTCTGGTTATACAAAGTTTCCATATTTTTCGTGTGAATGTGACAGCAAAGCATGAAATCAGCACTGAATAAAGAAGCAATGGCCACGCAGAGTCAGCCTGGTACCAGGATCGAAAAACATTGAACGTGAAAGTTTGGTTGACATAAAAAAGTTCTATTAGCTCCACTTCACGTAAAACTGGGCTTGATGAAGCAGTTTGTAAAGGCCTCAGACAAAGATGGAGACTGTTTCATATATCTATGTGGGCAATTCTCAGCTCTTTCAGAAGCGAAACTTAAAGAAGTGATTTTTGTTGAGTCTCAGATTAGGATGAACAATTCGAAAGGATAATGAGGAAAGTTGAAAAATAATCGTGGATTACCTTTAAAGATGTTATTGACAAATGTTTAGGAAACAACAAAGATACAAGTTACGAAAATATTGTCAATAACATGCTCGATAAAGAGTTGGATTGTAATATGAGTTTGAAAGTTCATTTTTTACACTCACATATTGAATATTTTCCTAATAATTTCGGTGCCGTCAGCGAAGAACAAGGGGGAAGGTTTCATCAAGACATCAGGGAAAGGGAGAGAAGGTACCAAAGAAGGTGGAACATCACCATGATGACTGATTACTGCTAGTCATTGAAACGAGATGCTCCAGACGCAATACATAAAAGAAAGACCACAACACGTAGTTTTGAGACTAAAAAAACGTAGATTTCACATAAAAAAATCAGGATGATTGGGGATGCATATTCGTTTGACATCAATGTTCTTCCCTTTTCTTCAGTTTGTTTGTATTTTTTAACAAACATAATCATAAAAAATGTTCATTGTGGTAAACGAAATAATAATTTGATCTTAGTAAGAGTTTTTTTTTCTTCCCGATTTGTATTTTTTGTTTGTTTCTAATTAAGCACAAAGCTACACAATGGGCTATCTGTGTAGCGGGTTTCTAGCGTTGTAAGTCCGCAAACACACCGCTGTGCCACTGGGGGGGATTTGTAAAAAATCCTTACGTGATAGAAAAAAAATAATATTATTATTTTCGAAATCTGCGTAGCTGAATTATGGAAAATTCGTTATTTAGACCAAAACAACTTTTATGAAATGTAAATACGCAGACCTGTGTTATTATAGATTTTTTAAAGTATTGGACTATTTTTAAACTTAACAGAAATATTATAATTTTACATATTCTAAATATTGTATATATATTTTTATGCTAAATTTCTATAAATCAACATGAATGTTTTATTTTATAAGTACTTTAACTTTTTAATTTAAAAAAATCTATGTTCTTAGATGTTGTGATAATAACTTATTTTATAGAATAATGTTTTAATTCTAAAATACAATTAATTGATCAAAAAAGGAGATTTATTATTGTCTCTTATCCCTTAAAAACAAAATGAGATGGTTTCTTTTTTTCGAAATACGACTGAATTCAGAGTAGTTTCTGCAAAATTGAGGTTTAAACCTGGCGTTTCTTCAAGTTCTATTTTATAGATTGGAAATCTACTTCAGAGAAATATTCCTTGTTATCCGCCTACTAGTTGTTTTCAGTCTTCCTGTCTTTTGTAGGGAAATCAATAGTAGACAGGAAATATTAGCAGTAACTATCGATCAAAGAAAGTGTCCAGCAATAGTACTTAGAGCTAGAGTCACGCGACTTATACATAAAGTTTCTTGAAGAAGAGATATGTGCCTGTCATTCAGAACGAACATTTTATGTGACAGAGAAATACGTAATGAAGATAGGTCTGGACAGTTTTTATAGAAAACTTTCAGACCCAATTTTATATTTCTGTTCTGCAGAACACGAATATGATTTAGAAAAATAATTGAATTGTTCAATTTTGTTTTGTAAAGCCTTTACAAAAAGGTGTTCCAAGACTCAGCATATCCTAATATATTGACTGTTTCGTATTTTACAGTTGAATATTCAAAAACTGATTTTTGCAATGCTTTCAGTGTATGGTATCCTAGAGTTGTATGTTTCATAATTATTATTATTATTATCCTTCGAATATTCTGTGTGTCGAGCCTACATGTTCCAACACTACTTCTGGTGTTTTGTAGTTTCTTCTTCTGTTCTAGCTTTAGAGTTGCACGCTCCATGGATACTTGATTAATTATTATCAAATGTTATTTTACAAATTAAATATGTACTTGGTTAAATGTAATTAATTATCATTTTACAATCTAGATATGTACTTGGTTAATTATAATTAAATGTTACTTTCAATCTAGATAGCCCCCCCCCCAGTGGCACAGCGGTATGTCTGCAGAATTACATCGCTAGAATCCGGGTTTCGATACCCGTGGTGGGCAGAGCACAGATAGCCCATTGTGTAGTTTGTGCTTAATTACAAACAAATAATCTAGATATGTACTTGATTAATTATAATTAATGTTATTTTACAATTTAGATATGTACTTGATTAATTATAATTAAATGTTACTTTATAACCTAAATATGTACTTGATTAATTGTAATTAAATGTTATTTTATTATCTAGATATGTATTTGATTAATTGTAATTAAATGTTATTTTACTATCTAGATATGTACTTGATTAATTATAGTTAGATGTTATTTTACTATCTAGATATGTACTTGATTAATTGCAATTAAATGTTATTTTATTATCTAGATATGTACTTGGTTAATTATAATTAAATGTTATTTTACTAATCTAGATATGTACTTGATTAATTATAATTAAATGTTATTTTACTATCTAGATATGTACTTGATTAATAATAATTAAATGTTATTTTACTATCTAAGATATGTACTTGATTAATTATAATTAACTGTTATTTTACTATCTAGATATGTACTTGACCAATTATAATTAAATGTTATTTTACAATCTAGATATGTACTTGGTTAATTATAATTAACTGTTATTTTATTATCTAGATATGTACTTGATTAATTATAATTAACTGTTATTTTACTATCCAGATATGTACTTGACCAATTATAATTAAATGTTATTTTACAATCTAGATATGTACTTGGTTAATTATAATTAAATGTTATTTTATTATCTTGATATGTACTTGATTAATTATAATTAATTGTTATTTTAAAATATAGATGTGTACTTACTTGATTATTATATATACTAGCTGGAGTACCCGTCTCCTGGGTGGAAGATATGTAAATTCATGATTAATGGAAGGTTTTTTTTAAGACATAAAAAGTAGCTTCCCTTATATGTACTTGTAAAAAAAACACCTATAAAAACCACAAACCGCAAAACTGAAAATTTGTATGTACCTCCCCATGGTCCGAATAAACCTCCATACCAATTTTGGTGAAGATCCATTCACACCCTGCGAAGTATTTACATGGACATACAACAGACAGTACTATTATAATTATACATATCTAGATGTGTCGTTGATTAATTATATTTAAAAGGTATTTTGCATCATTACATATGCATTTGACTGGTTAAAATAATGACGATGTCTAAATCTAATTGATTTTATATTTCCAGCTCCGTTACTGTCAGAAGTTAAACCAGATTTCAAAATGGCAAACATTGGAGAAACAATTGAATTTACATGTATCGTAAATGGGCATCCAATCCAGTCAGTAAATTGGTTGCGAAACTGTCGCCCTCTGTTGTACAATAGTCGCATCATTCGTCTTGGAACCAATGTTTTAAGAATCGCACCTGTCGAGAGGGGAGACCGTGGAATGTATCAATGTGTAGTGTCGAATGAGAAGCAGGCTGTTCAAGCTGCAGCGGAATTAGTGTTACAAGGTAAGTGGAAATAACTATCTTTCCTTCAGTTTCTCAGAAAACCTGCACCAAACATTTTAATAACATTTAAAGTACTATCTTGGACTAGAATATGGTGTTAACACGTTACTCCTAATTATGAGTGAACATTAAGGAATAATATGTCAACAGCCATGCTCTATCTGCTATATACACTGCCAACGAGGCCTTTCGTACAATATCAAGTCTAATGAGGCCGGCTGGAATACGACAAATATATTAATGGTCGAGATGCTATTTATATTATCAATTGCTTAGAAAAAAAATTGTTTAATGTAAACTAGATTAGTCCCTCCTCCCCCAGAGGGTCAGTGATAAGTTTACAGACTTGACACGCTAAAATTTGGGGTTCGATTCGCGTATTAAACAAAGTGCAGCCAGCTTATTGTGTATCGTTGCGCTAAAACAAGCCAACCAACAAGATTAAATTGGTGAAACGTAATCATACATCAGCAGTGGCCCAGCTGTAAATCGATGGGATTATAATGGGTGGGCAGAATACTAATAGCTCATTATGTAGCTCTGTATTTAAAAGAAAACAATATAACCTGAGCGATTTGACTAAAAACTTAGCCATTATTCAGTTAAAACTAATAATTCGCTTTAGAAAATTGATGTGTGTCATAATTTTTCCATTTACTAATTTGAGGACGGCTCACTATTCGATTACAGTAGAGGATTAACTTTCATGTGTTTATATAGAGGTAGAAACCGGTAGAGGATTAACTTCCATGTGTTTATATAGAGGTAGAAACCGGTAGAGGATTAACTTTCATGTGTTTATATAGAGGTAGAAACCGGTAGAGGATTAACTTCCATGTGTTTATATAAAGGTAGAAACCGGTAGAGGATTAACTTCCATGTGTTTATATAGGGGTAGAAACCGGTAGGGGATTAACTTTCATGTATTTATATAGAGGAAAAAACCAGTAGAAGATTAACTTCCATGTGTTTATATAGAGGTAGAAACCGGTAGAGGATTAACTTCCATGTGTTTATATAGAGGTAG